TGGTTACAATGTGCAGCGCATACATAGTTACAATATGCAGCGCATTATCCTCTTGAAGGTAAACCATCTGAAACCTACACGCTCATAACAATACATTTAACCGACAGCTGTTTTCTGACAACCATGGTAAGTCTCGCCTGAGCTGGGTATTCGAAGGGAAAGACCCATGGTTCCACAGGGGGTGTATCTGGTTCAAGCAGACATACAGGGTGTTTTTGTTTTATTCTTTGCAAAACTTTCATATTTTACAAAAAGAAAAAAAAAGGGATGTGGGAGATATGTGGATGCCGTCTTTCGTTATATCTGTAGGGCTCGGTAAACAATGAATGGGTAAATAACCGTTGCGGTGTTTAATAATTAACCAAAATCTGTTAGTTAACTTCTTTATTAACGGCTTAATTGTCTATGGTTCAATAGCAGTTTTAAAAGGAGTCATTATTAAAGGCAAACACAATTTTGACCATTCGCGAAAAGGCAACGAGGTTCGCGAAATTTATCGTAAAAGTTTGCCTCTCTTCACTTGATTCAGAAACTGCGTTATTAAAATAATACGTAGAATAGTGACTTAGTCGTCTTGATGCGTGTTGCCGGCGAGTCCACCGAAGACACGGCGTCGAGTTAGGGACGAGGGGACAGAAACAACTGTGTCATTCATCTACGCATCAATATCAGCACAACCTATTCGCGCTTTCAGCGCGCGGTTTTCTAATTAAGCGAAGAAAGGCAAAATTTGATGAATATCTCAGGACAGAACGAGCAGGTTTGTAGAGATAATTAAGCTTGAGGAAGAAAACGAGAAAGGACGGACAAACACAACAAAAACGAGCGCCTTATTGCTTTCGCTCGAAGCTCGTTGTTTGTTCGCGAACTTTCGAAATTGGGTTGGCCTTTAATAATGGCTCCCTTTAAAGCTGCAATTGCAACATGACCAATTAAACCGTTCATTAACCCTTTCCCTACCGCAAAAATTAGAAAAAAAAGATTTGAAAAAAACGATTTTTTTTATGTGCCCTATACTTTGTTTCACCTTGTGTTGTACCACAGGAAAGGCTACAAGCGCCAGCTCCTTGCTCTATGGCATATCTCGGCGGCACAAGCTCTCGTGCATTAAGAGTAGCTCCCAACGCTATGAGCTCGCGCTTTTAGCCTTCGCTGCGGTAAAACATAAGGTGAAACGGAGTGTATAAAATCGTGGTACCGACATATGCACCGCTCAAAGTGGAAAAAAAAAAAAAAAAAAGGCGGGCTGCGCGATTTTTTCCGGATAACTCGACTACAGCGCCGCCACGAACTGTCAATGCACACGCCCTCACGAGCTCCCGCTGCCGAGCCGCTTTGGTCCCAACACTACCCAAGTATTCTAGTACACTGTACTTGTATTGGACACGAGTGATTACGTCAGCGTTTGGCAAGGACTCTGATCCAATCACGCGCTTCGTTTCCAAGCAATGGCGACCGTCAGTGTTGCTTGATGGGATTTTGAAAAGGGTCGATTACGCCTGGCCTGAGCTCTATAAAATAAAAACGGCGCTGCCTGCAAGAAAATTGAGGGATAAAGGCCGATCCTCTAAGCCAATGCCAACAAAAAATCTTGATTTTTTTTAAATCAGTAAGTCCAATTTATTCAATCAGATTAATGTTATTTAAATCACTGTAGCTAAAAAATATTACCACTAGATGCGTTCTTCAACATGGCAAATTGACACATGGCCAATCACTGATAAGTGATCGGACATGGTCATGCGACCCTGAACAGTGCTTGCAGTGCACAAGCGCGCGTGTTTGTCAGAGACGATGAAAGGCCGGAGCTCGCCCTTGCAGTGCTGAGCTCAAACTTAAAACAAAGTATAGAACGAAACCAGCTTCATTCTTTTGTTGGTTAAAAAATATATTTTTTCTATTTTTTTAGTTATGACTTAATTGCAATGAGACATTACATTTCTAAATCTTGTTCCTTCTTTCTTTTTTTTTTTTATTTTGTGGCAATAGGACGTTACGTATAGCTGGCGAACACGAAATCAAGCTCGACGCTTCGATTTACTTAAAAGAACACTTCATTTTGCTCCTGTTCAGGCTTTTATGAACCGTTATTGCTTGATGGTTCTTCCACCGAGATACGAGTCAAATGCATATAAAGAGTATCAAGTGAAAGCCAAAAGCCAGATAAAGCTTCTTTCGAGATTATTTCTTCAGAAAATTTTTATTTTAAATTATCATAGAAAAACTAGTATGATTTAAATGCTATTGATTTTACTGTCTATACTCTTCTCTAAGCGTGAGTAGCAGTGGCTCGGCTTCAAGCCCGTTTTGCGATAGGCGATACAATGGCGGCGCCTCCGCGACGATCGGGGAATGGATTGTACTTACTCTGAGCGGATTTTATAAATGACTCTGGCCTCGAGGATTCACCAAGACTGTCGTTAAACACTTGTCTCGTGCGTAGGTAACCGACCTGTTCAAAGAACACGGGGCGTCGCTAGATGCGCACAAGGCGGCCTTGGAGCGCATCAAAGAAAGTGCCAACCGCAACGTCCACTGGATGATGAATCACTACGCCGAGGTGTCGCGCTGGCTTCAACGAGACGTCACCGAGTTCATCTTGGACGACCAGGTGATGCGCGGAAACATCACCAACAACGCCGCCATCGGAGGCGGCAACGTCTCGGACGTCTTCTTTGAAGAGAGCGATTTTACCAACGTGACTCGAAATTAAAACGTAGCCATCGCTACAACTGCGTCTCGTTTGCCTGCTAAAACTTTGTGGTAAACTACGTAGTCGTGAGCGCGTGTAAGCTAACACAAATGCATGACTGAAGAAGGAGTGTAATCTCACTGAGAAAAAGGGTGTACTGGTTACTATGGGGCGGGGTATGCGATTGCAACCTGGTTAATAATCATCATATAGCCTCCTCGGGAGCCCGAGGCAAGGTGCTGGCCTACGGATCCCCAGGTAGCGGGTTCGAATCCCGGCCGGGGTGTCCGTCAGCTGTATTCCAGTGGTCCAGACCAGGGGTCTCCAAACCCTGGCCGGTGGGCCAGATCTAACCCGCAGAAGGTAAAAGGCCGTGATCTTTCCCGGTGACGAACGGCCCACGGCCCGCTGCTACAAACGCAAAAACAAGCGCCCGTACAAAGAAAAATGGCGTTGCGACGAGCGCCAAAAGCGCAAATTAATATATCCAAAATAATGAAAGAAAACTTCATCAAAACGCGGGTTTATCATCACCAGCATCACGCGCTCGTAGTTCCCAGCTTTATGTCTGCGTAGCTATAACAAAATTCCTTTGCGTTCTCATGTATATCGTGCTTAGTGTATTGTGTCATAACGCTCGCATAAATTCTCATCAGATCATCCATCCTCGTCAATCGTCTTCCGCGTGAAAATATGCCGAAGTTCTTATGCGCTTTGGTTTAACCTTGTTCAGTTCTATGGGTCGCAATTATTTTATGTCAAAATTAGCAGCATATTGCATTTTTTTTAAAGAACAGGTATACATATTTATTCACTTTACTTTTTTTTAGGGTTGCTCTAGCTTAAATTTTTGTATTTAAATGCTTATTAAGGCTTATTTATTTTATTATTTCCTCATTATTCTTGTATTATTTATTTTCCGGCCTTAGGGACTGCGACAGGTCGCCAATACGGCCCCTTAGCCAAACAGTTTGGAGACCCCTGGTCTAGAGATCTGCAAGCTCGTATTTTCAGCAACCATGCAGTCGGCGTCGACATTGCAAATAATAAATAATGCATGAAACTCCAGGGTGCCTATGTTGAGAAGTGACAGAGTTTTCTATTTCTGTTGCGTGCACCTCTTCATTTTATTTTTAATAAATTAAAAACCTCAGCAAAATAACTACGAAAATTATCAACACCACAAACGCGGTATTCTAGTCCAAACAGTTCATACGACCAGCCTAAGGTCTTGTGTTACTAAAGTAACATAGGCTGTTTTAGTGACACGACGCATGGGCTCCTAGAAATATAGATGCTACTAAAGAAATATAAGTTATTTTGTAGTCTCTGACAACTAAAATAAACAGGGCATCGCAAGTCACGAGCATTTTCTGTCACACCACATACAATGAGACAGCGGCATAGCCGTCAAGAGCACCGATTAACAAATCACGAAAAGAGTAAATATAATAAGTCGCGCCCTGTGTTTTTTAAACTGTCAGTCGCTGAGTATACAGATATTTAGGATTGTCTCACGACGCGTAAAGTGCTGTTTTAATAAAAGCAAATCTAGGCCGTGTCGAACCCGAAAATAAATGTTAGAAATTACAGCTAGGTAGCGGTTTTGGACCCACTTGTTATAAATATAACGTACGGGCACGTTTATGACCTGTTTTTTGCAGTAGTGAAAGTAGTAGTAATAGTGACGAGAACTTCTCGAGTATTTCCAATTTTCAGTGTATCCAGGTTTAGACAAAATCATGGCCATGCCCCAGCCTACTGTAATTTCTGCTGACATTGTCAGTTATTTTTTTTTCTCGCGATGTTGGGAAGCACGTTGTCAACTCTTATATTTTTACGTAGCATGACTCAAACAAACTTTAACAAAATGTCAAAATTTAGAATGTACCTTCATATGTGAAAGATAACAGCTTCGTCGATGCTTTTCCAAACTTGTTTTTACATGGGTTGTCCAACAACCCCGGCGCCTCTCCCCAACAATTCCGCTAGTTTTTAGAAATGGCAGCGCTATTTTTAGGCGTGCTTCCCACGGGAAGTAAGCATGCCGACGCAAACCGTTAATGGGAAAGTCCAGGCTTACTGACAGATCCTGTTCGTTCCCCAAAAAGAAAATGCCCTCGGCTGGCTGAAGTGGGCACACATATTAGCTGCTTTACTGAATGTGGAATACGCCATAAACAAATGCGATTCCCGGTCTACAAAAATCAATGCATCGTACTTATTTCAGAAATATAATCAATGGCACTCAAATGATCGATGTCATTTACTCGGGCGCAGGTGCAAGAGTTTATTCACACCACAAGCGCTATGTGATATTAGCTTGGAGCCACTTCTGTATGTCTTTATATTGAGAGTTCATCCATGCTGAGTTTGAAATGATGTTGTGACTTGACTGCTGGAACGCCCAGGTAACTTCCGCCATTGTGTCGTTGAAGTTGTAGTATAGGCTTCTCATCTGAAAAACAGGACGCGTGTTATAAAGCCTAAAGTTACCTGTTGATTCGCATCACGTTCGTTCCGAACTCACTTCGTTGAATTCTTTCTCATCCAAGATTCTGGATGACATTTGGATGAGAATTTCCAGGAATTTATCCTTCCACCTGAAACAAAGAGGCCAAGAGTGTTGTTCCTGCCAGAATGATAATTTATCCCCATGTTGCAGGGGGAGAAAAGAGTCGTCAGATGTCCAAAACAACGTGTTTTTGGTGTAGGAATTCTGGTGTTAGGTGCTTTGGTTTGAAATTACTATGCGCTCTAGACACTCAGTCATCTGCGTTAAGTCCTTATTTCTAACTCTTTTCATTCGCGTTCAGACAATTAAAAAGCAAACCGAAGGAGCCCAAGTCGGCACCTGATCTTGATAGTCCACCTTCTTTTTATATAGAGACTATAGCCACCAAATGTCACCAGACGCGCATGTGAACGCAGCATCTGAAACAAGCTTGGGCTCCAAGCTAGGCTGCAAAACACACCGGGTTTTGCGCGGTCGCCCCTCACTTCACTCAGGGAAACGTTAATATAAGCTCAGGCCCGAGCGTGCACCAAGACTCGTCGGCACCACCAAAGGTTCCAAGGTTTCACCAGTGATCGCTTTCCTTTCTCAGCATCGACATCCACAACGGCGCGTCCGACTCTGGCTGTTGTTGCGACGTTCACGTTAGCAGACGACATTCAGATGATGGCGTCTCCCGTTGCTGGCTTCAGAAGCTGCGTTCGCGCGTTCCTCCATAAAGAAGACTCTTTGTTGCCATGGTGACGCTAGCAATAGCAAACGGTCTTTATCGTACGGAAGGAGACGTCGGAGTGGCGAAATTAGCTGCATATTTGGGCTTTTGCGCCGTGCGTTTAAACCGGGTGGCACGTGAACAAAAAGAGATCGAAGGAGTGATAGGCGGGACGCTGCGAAGCACCGTCCCGCCTGTTCACTAGCCACTCATGCAGCGATATATCTAACGAATGGCCGTATTTTTGGATAAGAACGGCACGATTGAACACAGCCGACGAGCCCAACGAGGCATGTAACGTCGCAATTTTCATTCCCACTCCTCTTCGCTTTATTCCCTCAAGCAGGTGAACCGAACTGAATAAAGAAGCAAGCCGCTTCCCATCATCCTCATCTCTTAAAAGAAAATCATGACTTCACATTCCTCGCTTGATCGCGCCCTTCTTTTCCAAAAATACTGCCATCCATTTGAGATATCGAAGTATGAGTAATGTTTTGGAGTTCGTAGCGTCCCGCTCAACGCTTCTGCGGCCTTATTTTTGAACTTCAAATTTCGATTCGGCATTCGGATGCTGAGCCAAAAGCGAGGAACGTAACGTCACGACTCTCTTTGAAGAGTTGAGAATGAGAGGAAGCGGCCTTACTTCTCTCCTCTTCGCTTCGGTTCACCTGCTCGACGGGACGAAGCGAAAAGGAAGGGGAATGAGGATAGCGACGTCAAATGTCTGGACGCGCTCGTCGTTCATGTTCAATCGCGCACTTCGTTTCCAAAAATACGGCCATCCGTTAGAGATATTACTGTATAACTGGTGTTTTTGGGTTTCTCAGTGTCTCGCCTATCCCTCCAGCCTTGTTTTGTGAGCTCCAAATTTCATTTAACATCTCTTTCACACAGATGGCTGATTTTCGCCAGCGCAAAATATCTCAACGGGCCTTCATATCATTACATGGGGTTAAATTACCGATGTACTTTTCTCTTATGTTTGGGGACAACGTTTTTCATTTCTGAAAAGACGAGAAACACGCCCAGCTCTAATCAGTGCCCAGTCTGGGAGAGGGCACGCGTGCCAGTACCTCTGACTGCATTGCCCAGAAACGTTGTCGCCGAATTCAGTCTATACTTCGTTTCAGCTTTGGTCCGAGCGCGGCCGATGTTATGAGCCGAAGGGCCAATCAAACAGCGCAAAAAGCGCAGCGTCATGGCGTGCTCTCTGTGCCTGATAGGACTAGCCGGCGGAGGAGCGCGCACAGAGAGACGGCGAATACCGGCTGGTCCTATCAACTGCAGAGAGCACGCCATGACGTCGTGCCTCCTTCGCTGCTTGATTGGCCCTTCGGCTCATAACATCGGCCGCGCTCGGACCGAAGCTGAAACAAAGTATAGGGTCACTGAAAACTCAGGAAATGCATGACGTAGAAAGTCCCCCAATGATCACTCCGGAGCCAATGAAATTGCGGCATAAGCCGATAAGAAGGTCAACGGTCGAATCATGAGATACGAAGTGAGAACGCAACCCTTCGTTTCTTGAGTTGCCACTGACGATAAATGTTGGAAGCGTTGCAGCCTCAGCCTGGTGCTGTTATTCAGGCTAACTCAAAAACATGCGGTACGTACATGAAGAACATAGAAGGCCAGTTCCTTCGGATAAAATCCATCGTAATATTTCTCGCCCCCGCGCCTTGCTGGGAAACGTGGTCGAAGATCTTGACGCAGTCTTCTGGCCTCAGCAATTTTTCGTTGAGCGTTTTCTTAAGAAGCCTGTGGACACCAATATTATGTTATCCTCTGTAGTTAAAGAAAAATTTTCGTTTCCAGAAACCATTTTTATCATTACCCTTGGCGCCCCCGAAGCCGGCAAAAAATAAATTCCAGTTTTGATAAGGTAACTGGAATATATTAAAATTCAAACTGAGCTTAAAACCAGTTATATCCCCCCCCCCCCCCCCCCCGCGTTATATATTTGTCATGCCTTTTATACTTTATTTTAATTGTTTGAATGATTATACTATAAAGTTGTATTTTGCAAAAAAAAAAAAAGAAACAGATTCCAATGAAGGGGAAGACAACAACATACATGTATAACTTAAAAAAAAAAAAGTTTAGATGAGAGAAGGCTCACACTAGATGCTTCTGCTTCCAAGACTTAAGGTTTATTCACATGGTGCATTTTTTCAACGCCCAGCGGTTTAACGAAATCGAGATTTCGAGCAATCGGCCTGTTCACACGTCGAGTCTCATGCGCAATATCTCTGACGTACTAACTCACGAAAATTTCGACAAATTTTGTCGTCTCCTCCGGGAATATCGGGTACTTGGCATCAAAATGATATGAAGTACGCACAGTGTGAAGCCCGACAGTCTGCTTTATTAATATCACTCGATAAACTTCGTCGAATTTGGCTCACTCGGTTTACTTGGCCTGCCAAACCGGGCAAAAGACCGCGAACGTCAAACAGGAGGATGGCTGCCCTGAGAGATCTGCTACGCGCCACCAACTCGCACAGCCAACTCGTACCGTCCGTACGCACCGCTTCGCCGTGTGTCGCTTACCACCACGTATTTTTTTTTTTCTTTTTTGCACTTTGTTCGGATCAGGCTCCTCCAAAAGCTCGCTTCGCCTCGAGGGTCAGACGTCCCACCAATGTGGAGCGGCCATTGTCAGCGGCCACGTTTCTCCTTTGGCTGATCGAACAGGCCTCGGTGAGGTTTCGGTGTTTCAGCAAAAGTTCGCTCGAGAAGCGAGAAGCGAGGGCAACTCTTTTAGGAGGCGCGCGCTATCTTCAGTCGCGTTCAAACGGCGTATCTGTTTCGCGAAACCAAGTTTTGCGACATAAGACTCCCCAAGAAAGGAGCACCACGTGAATAGACCTTTGGAGCGAGAGAAACTGCGTTATTCTCTTTAGACGGACATAGTGCTACAGAAAGGCAAAAAGTGTCTCTATGGATGAAAATATACTAAGAAATTTCTCGCTCTACCAGTACGATAATAGCAGTTCATAACATTTTTGAACAAGGTCTCGTTGTCGGGAACAAGTTTTTAAATAAAGTAAGGAGCTATTTTTTTATGAACGCCTGTTTGAGTGGAACAATGCTTTATGGCATATCTTTTTTTTTTAATATCTAGATTTAAGTTTGATTTCTGTTTTAAGAGCGATGCTTGTACACAGACTCGGAAAGTAATCACTACAAGTGACGGATTACTTGTCAAACCGTTACTGTTTCAACCAACTTAGAAATTGCCAGGTTACATTTCGTGGCAGTAATTTGTAATGTATTTACGTTACAAATATTCGTAGCGAATTACTTGAATTACTCGTTACTTTTTTAAAAATATGAATAGATTACAGAAACTGGAGCAATATAATCAAGCGATTCAGCAGCATCCAGATAGAAAATTCAACCAAATAGGAAACATCGTGAAAAAGGAGAATAACTGAAACGAAAACACGATTTTTGTATGACCAGTCACTTGAACCACTATAAAAACGTGCGAGGCATATACAAATATGCAAAAAACGAATGTCAAAAAAACAGCGCCGAGTACGCGTTGTCTTCTGGATCTCCTAGCGGAGGTAGACGCTGCTACTCAGCATGCGCACCTCAAGCTTTGTTCGCGAAATTCCAGGGATCATTTCCGATCGCCGTAAGCTAGCGGGATGGCGGGTGTGGTTGCAGCTTTCACTGCTTGGTCAGCTTACAGACGAACGGAGTGCACCTACATCTTTTCTCTTAAATGCAATGTATTATTTTTAAGGGGACTACCATAATGCGGACGTCTGAAAAATCGGAAGTTGTGTCGCGGAACTTTTTTGAAAACATTAATATTGTTTCCATTGTTTTCTTTCAGTAGTGTACAAGAAACGCAACGTGAAAGTGATATCTAACGTAACGAGTAAAGTAATTTGTTTGTTTTCAGCGAAAGTAATTTGCAATGGTTATCCATTACATTTGAGGCTCGGTAATTTGTAATTGTAGTCCATTACAATTTTTTTAAGAAACAGACAAAAATCTGCTTGTAAGTAGTTATCACCAAGATAGACATTGTTTGGCTATAGCAATTAAATCGTCTACTTCACGCAACAACACTAATGTTTTTTTTGTTTTTTTTTTTTTTTGTTTTTTTGCCAGTGGTGGTTGTGAAGCGAGTGTTTCTACAAAAAGCAAACAACAAAATTATTTTTTTCCAGACTCGTACAGCGCGACACCAAGATCTCTTGCTTCTCTAGTTTCTATCCCGGTCCCCATTCGAGCTAGAGCGCTTATCTTTATTTTTAGCGATTTTTGGATTACTGCATTCGCTCTTTATTGGGAAAACGAGGTTATCCGGCAGCCGCGCTTGGACGTTAAAGGAACAGAAAATATCCGTAGGTTTAGCAAGTCAGCTTCCCCGAATACGCAAAGCCCTCGAGGCTGTCTTGAAAAAAAAATAAAGAAAGATTTGATTGCGGAAAATACGTTACTTGCTAATGCGAGATTTTTTTTCCTTATTATCACGCATTTGCAGTCTATGAAACGCAGGCCCTGTTGCGTCCCAGGCATCCTATTATCGCTATGCAGCCAATGACGTTGCAGCATCAGCCACTGAAAATGCCGAAGAACAAATCATCCAACCAAAAATAGTAAACATACTAATCAGTCTACATTGATGTCGTTTTTAAGGCAACACCATTCTTCGTAGGCCCTCCTGAAAACAGAACCAATGAACATAAATATTTAAATAAGCATTTTGTTTCAAAAAGGCACCGAGACCCACGCCAGATGCAAGGGCTCGAGCTCTAGGGCAAAACAAAAAAGTATCGCGTTACAAAGTTACCCGCTGTCCTTACTCTTGGCGTTCAGTGAATGATAACGCCCATGCGCGTTAGTCTTTTCAAAAAAATCAAAAAGAAAAAAAATATCCTATATACTTTTTTTATTTATTTATTTGTTTATTTATTTATTTATTTAGTTAGTTAGTTTAGCCTTACATTTAGTGGCGCTGCCAAGTATTCGCTTCTGAGCAATCGAGCGTCCGTAAGACGGCGACGGGGCCTTTGAACCGGGCACATGGGCGACGTTATATAGAGCTGCGCTAATCACTCTGTGTAAACCATCCCTCCTGGTGTCTAAAAATACATTTTGCCGTCTCAAAACAACGGCAATAAATTTGTAAAGGTCTTGGAGGGCATTTTAATAATCTGTGGGTTATTCTCGAAACTCAAAAGTTTAGTTTTAATGGATTCAATTGGAGCAGAAGTTGCACGTGGCTAACCCTCGAAATAAAGTATTCGAGCTGAGTACCTGGTACTGTGAACATCGTGCTTTAAAGGGCCTATCTAGCCTAAAAATTGCGATGCTAGGGCTTTACGCCTTGCGCTATATTACGAACCTGCAATGAGGCAGCCAAAGTATCGAACCAAAATAACTAACATTTCATCGAGAGATTAATTCGAGGAGCTCAAAATTTGATACAAACATTTTTGTTTCGTCACTCTACGAAACATGGGAAGTAACAAGATACTACAGCCCCAAATGTGACGTCACACTTTTTCTTTTATTTTGGTTCCCCTCCTAACCAACATCGAGCGTCTCTCCCAAGACACCCGAAATGTACGTCGGACACAGTGGCGAATTTCTTAAAGATCGACAGCGAGAGCATCATAATAACAAAAACAAGACTATCTCTGGCCATCTAAAATATCACTGCCGAGTCTATGTCTCCAATCCTTAGTTCACAAAAGGAATTGCAGTGACGGAGCGACGACAAGTGTATCAGCGCCCCTTGAATTTTTTATCCGCCAAAGACTTATACGTACTACTTGACGATGGAGTCAATGGGATAAGAGCAGATTCCCAATGGTTGTTGTTGTTCTTCTTTTTGTGTGTGTGTGTCATAGTTATGCTTTTTACAAATAAACAGAAGAATAAACGTGAGTTGTAAGTCATCGCTGTGTTCGTCCTACTATGTGTCCTCTACTTTTGTCGTTGTTTGCAACGCGCTGTTGCTGCTATAATGAACCCAAGACGTGTTCGGCGACGCGACGCGACTGACGCGCTGACAACAGGCGGAACAGCGGGGTAGGAAGCAATAGCAAATAGGACGGGGGGAGGAGCACCCTGAGGGGACGGCATCCTGATACTGTTTCGTCACAGACTGTTTATAATTGGGTTGCAATACAGGAGCCTCTAGAAGGTTTTTTTTTTTTATGCTTCATTCTTCAAATAGCGAGCTGAAATTTCGTGGACACTTCCATGAGCAGGTCCTGGTACCTGCCACGACATTTTTATATAAAACGAACGACCCTTATTTCAGGCTGGAGAGACCCTTTAAAACCACGAATGCGCAATATTCTTAATCTAAATGTTTCTGTGTAGTTATTTTTAGGGGCGGGGCATGTCATTTGTTATTTAAGCATTAAAAGAAGTAGGGGTTTAGCTCCGCCTAAACGTAAACCCGATCTTCTTTTTTTTAAGTATACGTGTGGAAGTTTAATGGTGGATTTATAAGCTAGATGCGTGGTTCACAGCTCCTTACGCTACCCAGAGAGTGGGTGGTTTTCACCTTTAGATATGTATACATTTTTGCTTGTTCTCAAGGCTCTACTCAGCAGGACTCCAAAGGCTTTCTTGTCATAAGACTTAGTAGCAGTGGCTGGCGGATTCAGAGGGGGGGGAGGGGGGGAGGGGGGTCCGGATGTCCTGACCCTCCTCTTGAATTCTGAATGTGTAAAAATTTAGGGCGTGGAAACGGGAAGAGGGGAGGTGGGTGTTAAACATATGATTCACTGACCAACCCCCCCCCCCCCCCCCCCTCCCCCCCCCCCCCTCAAGAAATACCTGCGTCCGCCCCTGCTTACTAATGCTTTTCTGCCTCGGAACGTGTTTAAAAATAAACGAGCAGGGGAATCACCCGGTATAAATGAATTGAAATCTCTGGGAAGCTGGTGATGTTCTACACTTTTTTTTCTTCTTTTTCTAGAGGTAAAGGGGGCTTTTGCTGTTTAGACTTCATGACTGTAGTCCGTTGCAACTCAAGAAGGTTGGACGAGGGTAAGACGGGCCGGGGAGGAGGAAGCAGACAAAACGCTAAAGAGGGGAGGAGGGTTTTCCTTTCTTTTCCAGCGCTAAGTCTGCTTCATCCTCCCCGGCTCGTCTTACCCTCACCCTACCTTCTTGAGTTGCAACGGACTAGCATCTTAGTAACGAGAGGAAACGATGCGGAAAGAGCGAGGGAAGAGACCTCACCCTCCCGCTTGCTCTTCCTGCTTTTGCACCTGTGTTCATGACCACATAGCCGTGTAATATAATGAAGATACTTTGTTTTAAGTAAAAACCGACAAACCACACAAAATAATCCCTGAAACGGTTTTATCAAACTCGCCGGAAATTAAAAAAAAAAGGAAAAAAACGGTTTTAAGCTATTCTCTCTTAGAAAGAACTCAAGCATCACTTAAAGAAATCTTTATCTACAGCTTTATCTTCTGGCAGTCAAGAACACAGCCCGAAATGAACATTCTACATTGCTGCTTCATCCTTAGAATCCACGCCCCTAACCCCACTTTCTCCTCTATTCGGTACTGTGGCATTTTCTAAGTAGACGGGCAACGCGCATGCCCTTTGAAATTAAGGGAGCCGTTGCCTCTATCTCATTTCTTTTTTTTTTCTTTTTTTTTTACATGAGTTTTAGTAAACGCATTTCTTGGCGCCGAAAATTGGCACCAATAAACACTGAATTATGGGGAATAAATAAACCCCAAAAGAACACCCCCCCCCCCCCCCCCCCCCACACACACACACATTTGAAGAGAAAAAACTCCGAAAACACGGAACCCTAATCCTAATGCCTGCATTTGAGTCTTGTATATATGCGTCGCGACTTCCAGATCGTGAACTTACGTTCGCGTGATGCGCTGGTTCCGGGAACAAGTGAGGGCCCACACGATGTCGGACCTTTCGTAGCCGACATCCTGGGAGCCCCCCACGAAGCGGTCCCAGAGGAACTTCCAGTCCGAGTAGTCACCGCGCTCAATGGCCGTGCAGTACACGAACCCCCGGTGGTTCCTCGAAATCCTGCCGAAACAGGTCGCACCATTAGGTACCCATCATAGCCTGAGTTCGAGCATTGCACGTCATCTTGAACGGCAAACGCTCTCGAGTCTCGCCGTAGTAGAAAGTGGTCTAGCGCAACTTGAACTTCGTGTAAAAAATGCCAAAGCCGAACTTCGCTCGCGAATTCCTCCTATCCCGATGTCAGCGGGTGAGTCCAATGCCAGGACTTTCTATTGAGTCACCTGGAATCTTTATATTGTGTTGATTGTGATTTATCATATCCCTATACATTTTCACTCAAATAGGGTTCTTTATACTCATTGTCAGATGCGAAGTGCGAAGAAAATGATTTCTTATGTACCCAGGGAAAATGATTTTGACTTTGACAGTTTAATTAGCGTTGTATTATACGAAAACGTATAATTAGTGTTATTGTTCTCACTATTGGGGCCGTGTTTTAACTGAACTTGGTAAGAAAAAAACAACGCACGCACGCTCAGCGTAGCTAACAGATTTTTAATCAGTATTTATGTAACTTATTATTTTCTGTGTTCAGTAATTTACGTCGTATTTTTTTATTATTTCAATGTGTGTTCCACCGCCGGAAATATTGATTACAGCAGGGGTGGCCAGGGGAGGGGCCGGAGGGGGGGGGGGGGGGGGGGGGGAGAGGGGGGGGGCGGGGCAACCTTTTGTTTAAAGCAATAGACGAATCTCGAACTTCTTTCGATCTATCTGAGCCAAACCAGTCCAACTGTACGTAAGGTAGCAGTAGCACAAGAATATCACCTCTTTTTGGGGAAGTGCTCGTGTGACCGGAAGGGCGGCGGGGGGAGGGGGGGGGGGGGTAAGGGAGGGAGCCGCAAGCCCCACTTTAACACGCGAAAAGCCCCATGCGGCTCGCGAGACGCAGCTTGGCCACCCCTGGCTTACAGCATGAAAACATGGCGATATTTTTAAGCTTTTAATAAGCAAGACGCATTTCTCCGAAATCTGCGTATATGGTCGGTTTGGATAAGTATAGGGTGTCCCAAGTCACCAGGCGATATCTAAAATGGACCGTAAAAATCGACAAATGCACGTAGCGAACTAAACGTTTCGGCGAAGGTGCATTTCACCGGTCGGGATTTTCATGTAAAATTACAAATTGTAGCTCATTTTTTTGTAAAAAAAGGACCAAAAAACTTGCCAAGGTCAACGGCGGGCGGCAGGGCGGCAGGGTGGCCAATCCGAGGGAAATTTCCCAGATTAAGGTAAATTCAGGTCTATGTGGGAATAAGGCAAATCTTGCTACTTTGAGGGAATTTTAGGCCACCATGTATATCTGGAATTTTATAGGTCAATTATGATTTTTTTTTTTTTTGGGGGGGGGGGGGCATATTATTAAATTTTAGCGGTTTTGGCTACATTTGCGTTATTCCCTCTAGCCGTTTGACGGTTCGCTGAACGACTATCTGGCAACACTAAAATGAACTTAATAAACTTTTTTTTTTTCAAAATCAATTTTTATGTTGTTATTGTACCCAAGAAAACTATGGAGGAAGGAACCAGTCAAGTCAAAGCTTCTGGGAGTGATGCTGTGCCATCTAGAAAAGGAAAGCTTGAGTAGAAGAAGAAATACTGCGATGTGTGCAGACAAACTTACCATAAATCATATTTCGTAAAGTGCCGTGCACGAGATGGCAGTTACTGTGTGCCGTGTTCCGTGTGTTCGAGTTTAAGAACTCGATTGATTTAGACCTCTTCTTTTAAAATTACTATTATAAAAATCACTAATGAAGTTATTAAAGCTGTACCATGTTCTGGTGACATGCATAACATCCAAGGCCAAGGGAGGGTTTCATTCGTCAGTTTGAATCTCCCGGAACACTTCACACCGCCAAGTTTGAGTTGGCCACGGTTTTGGCTCGATAAACTCATTTTGACGAAATGTATGCGGGGCGTAAAGGCGAAATAATTATCTTTGATCGTAAAAACTGAAGTGATGTAGAAAACAACGATTATATAATTATTAGGGAAAGCGAGAAAAATGTAGGCAGAAAGACGAAACTTTCAAGCGTCCGCTATAGGGAAAGTTTTGATTTCCTTGTTGGCAGCCCTGGCGGGCGGCGACGCGCACGACCAAGCCGAGTTGCGGGGCGCGTTTGGCGCTCGTACTGATAGATGGCGTCGGGAGCAGCTTCGGAAGATGAAGCCGACCAGCGAAAAAAAAAAGCAGACGACACGCAGACGAAATCTGTTTTCCTTTTTTGTTAAGTTTTTCATTGACTTTCCACATTTATTTTTAACCAAAGGTACATTACAAAAATATTATGTTCATTTTAATGAACCACGGCAGTCGCGAACAGTCTCGATAAGGAGGTAGCGTTATCTATCAATGCGAGCGCCAAACGCGCCGCGCAACTCGACTTAAGTCGTGTGCGTCGCCGCCCGCCGTTGACACTGGCAAGTTTCTTTGTCCTATATTTTGCAGAAAGGGAGATACGCTTTGTAATTTTACGTAAAAAAGCCGACCTGTGAAATACATCTTTGATGAAGAGATTAGATTGCTACGTGGAGGCGTCGATTTTTACGGTACATTTTAGATCAAGCCAGGTGACATGGAACACCCTATATACCTAAACCGTCCGTGTATTTTTAATCGTCTCTTTCGAGTACTCAGCTTGTTGGCTGTTCCGGGGTTGTCCTTGAAAGCTTTGAACAGGGCCAAGGCACCGTGCACACATGGTGGATAGTCGTACTTGCATGCCAGAGCGTAGATGTCTCGTCGAAGCAGTCTGCGTAAGGAAATCTATCCATGACTTCTCGGATAAAATGCACAAAAAAAATAAACTTTTTGAAATCTTTTTTTTAAGTACAAAGGTACGCAAAAATAATATATTGCCGCGCGCGCGCGCAGCTGGCCAAAGAGGCAGCGCGCGCGTGGCCTAACGATTATCGTACCTGGCTCCCACGCGAAAAGCCAGGGTTCGATTCCTGGGACCGGCGCATCTTTTCGTTTATTCCTGCAGACCAGGCATTCCTGGTAAATTCGAGAACCGTCTTGCTGATTCGAGGTTAGAATGTTCTACGCGCCGAACCTTCTACGCCGAATGCTCCAAAGCCCACGCCTGTACAAAAGCGGCTCCGCCTGCCAAGCCGGAGTCAGTTTCGCCCCAGCGTTCGACTCTGCTGTCACGCCGACTTCGACGCCCGCGACGCTCTACTTTCTTCTGTTCCCTTTTTATTTTTGGGCACAAGTTCTCCCAATTAAACGTTTAGTTTCTTCAGTTATTATCGCCTCATCACTTGTCATTCGTGACATATTGGTGGAGGTGCGGGGTATCGCATTCTATGCCCGTGGAGCGTACCCCTCCGCAGACATCCCGGCCAAGTGAGGTGCTCAACCCCGGAAGGCTATCGCAGAAGACACCGACGCCCGAGCAAACCGCCATAACAAAGTCCAACTGCCGGAATCCGGACCTCTGCTGCACAAGCCGAAGGAGAAGATTTTGTCAATGACCACCCCACCCGTCGTCGTCCTGCCCGTCGTTCCGCGAACGTCTTCTTCCTTCCTCGGCGAGACCTATACAAGGGCGTCGAAGACTGGATCAACCAGTACGAACGCGTGGCTCGCCACAACGGGTGGAGTGACGAACAGCGCCAGCAGAACCTCGAATTCTCACTTGAAGGGATTGCAAGGCGCTGGTTCGGAAACCACGAAGCTTCCTTGACTTCATGGGAGCTTTGCAAGAACGAGCTAACACGTACGTTCACCAATCAACATCGGAGAGAGAGGGCCGATGATCCACTGCAATCCAGGACCCAGCGCCCCAATGAGAGCGTCACGAGTTTCGTGGAAGACGTCCTGCGCATGAGCTCCCGCGCCGACCCTCAGGCCACCGACGAAAATAAGCTACGTATTCTGATGCGTGGCGTGAAGGACGACATCTTTGGTGGACTCGTACGCAACCCACCGACGTCCGTTCAAGTATTCGGCACGGAAGCCACGAATATCGAGCGTGCTCTGCAAGCCCGGGCCAGCCACTACCAGAGACTGCCCGGCGTCAGCGCGATTTCACAGTCCCCTTGCGACCTTCCCGCGACACCCCGGGCATTCGTGAACTTATTCGCGACATCGTCCGGGAGGAGCTTAAGAAGCTTCTGCCGACTGCTGAGCTCCCGGCATCAATCTCCATTACCGAGGTTGTTCTGGACGAGGTTCAGCGAGCGCTCCTGCCGGATACCCCTGTCACCGTGGCCGCAGCCGACGAGCCGACGCTGACCTACGCCGCAGTGGCCCGACGAATGCCGCCAACTGCTCAACATTACCCTGAGGCGCCACGACGAGACCCACCAACGCAAGCGTACCCCCGACGCAACGACGAAGTACGTCAGTACGACCGCCGAGAACAGCCGGCGCCAAGGAAAACCGACGTGTGGAGGACAGCGGATCGACGACCCATCTGCTACCACTGCGGGGAAGCCGACCATATCTAACGCCGTTGTCCTTACCTACAAATAGGCCTGCGTGGGTTCCACCCAAACGACCCACGCCCGAGGTACGGCGAACGCCCTCGCGACATCGAGGAGTACCTTCGACGCTCGCCCTCCCCAGTGTCGTCTCTCCGCCGTGAAGCCTGCTTTTCATAGCCAGGACGTTCAGCGTCTCCAGCGCCACGACCCCGCCGAGAGAGCCTGTCTCCCCTGCGTCGTCGGGAAAACTAAGTGTGGCAACGCCTGGAGGTGACGTTGCCGAAAACGACGAAAGCAAAGAGCCTCCGAAAACGCCGGAGCACTCCCACTCTCCCGACGCCCCCCAGCGCACCGACGCCCCTGCAACGGTGTCCAACAACCTAAACGTTGTTATCGACGGCCTCGACGCATCGGCACTCGTGGACACCGGGGCAGACTACTCAGTCTTCAGTGGGAGGCTCTCTCGCCGCCTGCGAAAAGTGACAACGCCGTGGGATGGACCTCAAATATGGACCGCCGGAGGGCATCTCATCACACCAGTCGGGAGGTGCACCGCTCGCGTCGAGATCCACGGTGAGACGTGCCCTGTGAAATTCTTCATTCTACAAGACTGTGCCAGAGACGTCATTGTCGGCATGGACTTTCTGTGTGAATACGGTGCCGTCATCGACCTTGGTGAAAACAGATTGACGCTGCGGACGCCCATCCTACCTTCAGAGAAACCCCGAACAGCGTCAACCGCCGTCCGAGTCGCTGCCGACAACGTGAACCTGCCGCCGCGATCAAGTGTTGTCGTACCCGTCGTGACCGATGCAGCTACCTGCGGCGAAGTTGTTCTGGAAGGCAGCCTTCAATTGCTCCTAGGAAGAGGAATAGGCGTCGCAAGAGGAGTGACTAAACTTCAGGATGGGCGCACCGTGGTCCTCGGACAAACTTCCAAAAAGAAACGCAACACCTCACAAAAGGTGCCGCTGTGGGTCACGTCGAGGAACTTCGGAACTCCGTCGAAATCGCCGCGATTGCTGAAGAATCATCGCCAGCTCAGCAAGACACTACGCCGCCAGCGCAGCTTGACATTGACCCCAAGCTTCCAGGCCCGAAATGACGGCAGCTGAGTGACCTCCTCGCCAAATACAGCGACTGCTTCGCGACGTCATCGAAGGTGCGCCAAACCACCGTTGCGAAGCATCGCATCGTCACCGAGGACGACGTGCTCCCTGTGCACCGATCGCCGAACCGAGTCTCCGTAAAATAACGGGAGGTCATTGAACAGCAAGTGGAAGAAATGCTGAACGACGACATAATCCAGCCTTCGAGAAGTCCGTGGGCCTCTCCAGTCGTGCTGTTTAGGAAGAAGGACGGAACGCTTAGGTTCTGCGAAGACTACCGGCAGCTGAACGCGGTGACGAAGAAAGGCGTCTACCCATTTATCCGCATCGACGACACGTTAGACCGGCTGCGCCACTCTCGATACTTCTCATCGATGGACCTGAAGAGCGGCTACTGGCAGATCGAAGTCGACGAGCGGGACCGATAGAAGACAGCTTTCGTCACGCCGGATGGGCTGTACGAGTTCAAGGTGATGCCCTTCGGACTGTGCACGGCGCCAGCAACTTTCCAGGGTGTCATGGACACCGTACTGGCAGGACTGAAGTGGCAGAGCTGTCTGGTCTACCTCGATGACGTCGTGGTGTTTTCCAGCGAATTCGAAGAGCACTTGCGACGACTCCGAGCTGTTCTTCAAGCCATACGGACCGCTGGACTAACCCTCAAGCCGTCAAAGTGTCGGTTCGCCTATGACGAACTGAAGTTTCTAGGTCACGTGGTTAGCAACGATCCTGAGAAGACTCGCGCCGTCGCGTCATTTCCAGCGCCGACAGACAAAAAGGCCGTGCGAAGATTCCTTGGACTTTGCGCCTACTATCGTCGCTTTGTTCGGGATTTCGCAAGGATTTCCGCACCGCTCACAAACCTCACGAAGGACGCCGAGAGGTTCGAATGGGCCGAGGAACAGCAGCAGGCATTCGACGAGCTGAAGCGACGACTCCCGACGCCTCCGGTTCTTGGACATTTCGATCAGGATGCGGACACCGAGATTCACACTGACGCAAGTAACGCAGGACTTGGCGCGGTACTAGTTCAAGTACAAGAAGGCACCGAACGAGTCATCGCCTACGCAAGTCGGACACTGTCCAAGGCAGAGAGAAATTACTCCACGACTGAGAAAGAATGCCTTGCGGTCGTCTGGGCAATCACGAAGTTTCGTCCGTACTTGTACGGGAGCCCGTTCCGTGTAGTCACGGACCACCACTCGCTCTGCTGGCTTGCGAACCTCAAGGACCCGTCAGGACGCCTCGCTCGATGGAGCCTCCGGCTACAAGAGTTCAACATGACTGTGGTTTACAAGTCAGGGCGCAAGCACAGCGACGCTGACTGCCTGTCCAGGGCCCCTGTCGAAACACCTTGGTTTTGCAGAGTCTCGTTACATTCTTGTCCCGCAGTAGCCAGGGCAACTATACATGGGGTGTTTAATTTTATTTAAAAAATACATATATTTTTTTTCTTTTTTTAAGAAAGGGGGTCAGACTCGCAGTGCTGTAGGCGTTACCGAAAAAAAGTAACGAAATACACTACTCGTCACTTGCAAAATAAAGGAACGCGTTACCCACCTGCGTTAACAAAAAAAAAGGAACGCGTTACAGCTACCGGTACCGACAAGAAGGAACGGACGTTAATTTTGCGTTAACTTGTAGTTGTGAATTGACGGTAACAGCGATTTTTGTGCGACAGCGTTTTTCGACACTGGGACAAAAGACGTGGGCGTCGGGGTTTTTCTAAAGTGAGACTTTTTGCGTGGGGGGAAAAGACATTCAAAGTGCAGACGAAGTCAACGCGACGACCTAATGGGTCAATCGACCAGCGTACAGAAACATGACGAGCACCACGATGGTGCCCTTTAACGATGTTCGATTGGTCACATGAGCTCGTAGCGTCGGCTGCGTCTGGACTTGAGGTAGAACGAAGTATAGAAACACACACAAAAAAAAATGGAAGCGTACCTTATTTTTACGTTTTGGGAGGGTGTAACGAGTAAGGTAACTACGTCACCCGTTACTTGTAGTAAGTACGTTACCCGTTACTTTTTCGAAAATCTAGCGAGTACGTTAATACGTTACCGAACAAGGTAACGCGTTACCGGTAACGCCGTTACCTGTACCGCGGTACGGCCACAACACTGGGTGAGAAGTAGACGAGTGTCGTCTTCACCATATATTTCTCAGGCACGGCAGACATTACATGAGGGGATTCTCATTATGCCAAGTTGAACAATTAATCAAAATTTTTTCATTCATGTTTTAACTACTAGTTTGGGGGTCATCCTGGAAGTAGGGTATAGAAGGCAATTATTATTAGAGGCCGGACAAATCCTTAATAAATTGCTAAGCGATAATTATTTTTGAGAAATTAATCGATCAATGTTAGTGTGTCTTGCCCAATAACGCGCCCCCAATAATCGCTATAACGTCGATTTGAAGAAATGGCGCTGTTCGCTAAACAACGATTCGCTCATGTAATATGGACCTTGCGCATCCGTTGACGGACGTCGACAAGCATACTGCAAGAGGAGAATACGGTGCTCTAGGCACGCTGTCTACTACAGATGAGAGGGGTGGAATTTAATCTTCGTAGTAGAGTGTTTCGGTGTCCCCTTTCTTTCCTCTAACCAGACTGTTATAAAATGAAGAGAATACTCACGTTCTCAGGACGTTGTCCGACGGCATCTCCTCCCAGTTGAGTGCGGTGTAGATGGGGGTGATAAGACGAATCACAAAGCCCTGCCCGAAAGGGTGAGCGAGTTAACTGCTCGACATTGTTGCCGGAAACACGACTTGGGTGTTCTTTTTTTTCTCCTCATTTTACTTTGAAAGGACACCGGTGGGCTTCAGATTTTGCCGCCTATATAGTTTAGTATTTCCACTGAGCACTTTCCACTACTATAGTAGTTTTTGTTAGAGACTTTCGATATAGAGAGGAAGACAGAGTAAGCCGGCGATGGCTTGTTCGCGTTAACAGTGTCGCAAGGTGTACAAGGTAGACCGTTATATGCCTTGGAAATACATAAGTTATATGTTCTCTGTTGAGTTTTGTATGTGCCAAACTAAAAATACACTGCACGTTTAAAGGCACTAGAAAAGCCAGTTGAATAGCCCACAAATGTAACAAAGCTATTGTTACAACAAACAAAAAAAATTGTCGGCGCAATATTTACTCTGCTACAGGCAATTTAGACGAGGCCTTGGATTAAGCGTACGTGCGCACTGGAAAATTCTCCTTTCGAATTGCCTCTTGCGCCTTTTCGCAGCGCGTGAAGCTAACATATTGTGCTCGATTTTTTTACGTCACATATAGAATAGTGTCCGAAATCCTAGCCAGCAGCGATAAGAATGGAAACTAATAATCTCAAACTCAGACTCGTGTGAACAGAGGCCGCTGCGCATAAAACGATATTTTGCTTTTTACAGCACTGCTGGCATCGGTGTTGTTTTTGTAGCTTCGTGACTACGCATTTCTGACGCTCCTGCATAACGAAAAGTGCAAAGATTTAAAAAAAAAACGGAGTCTTGCTAAAAGCCCCCCCTCCCCTCCCACCTTTTACTGTGTCAGGGCATCAGCATAAACAAACATGGCGGCACCCAAGGCGGCTTCAATTTCGTTGGTTCCGCTTTCAGCGGGCTCGCGACTGTGTTGGTGTGTTATGTCGTTTTCGCTTGATTTTGTCATATAAATGTATTCCTTGTGGTACAGAATCAATGATACATTGATAATGGGACACCTCAAAAACTACGACGTAGTTACGAGCCTAAATTATGGACGTTTTAACGAACACCTTCATCTAATCATGTTCCTCGTTCGGTCAGGTTCGGCGGCACACGACTGAAATGATGCCGGGTAGGGTTACCGATGTCTACGGCCGTAACGGAACGTACCCGCTGGTACTATAGTTTCCATAAAAATAAACTAATAAAAACACTAGCGCATGGAGGCAGTGTAAAAGCGGATGGACGACCAGAGATACAATGCGCTCAATTGCACAGAACAGATGAACTCGCAAGTTGAGTGCTCACTGTTCAGCTTTCGAGGACACCAACGTTTTGTGAAAATAGCCGACCGGGAAACACCCTAACAATGACGCATGGAATTCAAAAAAGAGTTGACATTGTCTCCATAGGTTCCTTTACAGAAGATAAGTACTCAAGAGATGTTTCCATAATGCTTCCTAGGCCGAATAGGACATTTTTTACACTATCAGCTTCGCAAAAGTATTCATTATCAGCATTTCCCAATGTTGACCTTAGAAAACTGTTTGTTGTACGGACATTTTCTTACAACGTATTGAGAATATGAGATACGAGGCAAACCAGTCAATTAAAGTCTGACGTCTGTATTTCGTATGAATTGCGGAATAAAGTTAAATGGCGCAAGAGAAATTACCTCCAGCAAACTTGACTCAAGTCAAACGCCAAACACCATTTTATGGACTTGTGTAGACAGATCTTTAATTGTTTGAACAAATATGTTTGTTTCTTTGTTGTTGTTCTTTTTTTACTTTCAGCGGCGTCGAGAGTAAATCATCCGATCCGGCATCTACAACGCTGCACTCGAGTGATTTCCATGCAGACGGTTTCTTTTTGGCGTCACATATTGCGTATATCAGGCGCTTTTGTCAGACACCGAGAAGCTGTCTTTGACACCTTTTGTCACCGGGGCAGCCCAACCTTTTGTGTCTAAATAAAATAATTGAATCGGATATCCTAAGAAAATTGAATGACTGCAGACATGAGACCCAGCATAGTGTATACTTTCTTTAAATTTATAAGTAAGCAGATCAAGGGAATGTTTATACAGCAGAAATGATTCCCCCGTATATTCAAAACCAGCTGTTTCGGACTTGTTATGAAGGCAGAGCACGATGCTTTGAAGAAACACACATAGTGACTACTTGCGTTGGCTATATTTGCCTTCTTCTTTACGATCATCATTGCGGGATCACAAATATTCCTCGCGCTCCTTATCGCGCCACAAACACTAAGCCATTATCACTTAAACAGATTTCCGCTGTCATAAATAATTTGCCTCTCAACCCTCGTTTGTCTTAGAGACATCTGCATATTCAATGTGCGCCAGTGCTAACGCTGATTCCTTCCCTCACACGTATATGGTATATGCCAACGGTGCAAATAGTCACAACATGTTATAAAATAAAGCGCAGACGTTGTACACATAAGGATGACATGCAGTTATGTAGTAAAAATAAGTATCAAACGGCACTTCACCAACCAAGAGAAAAAATCGCGGTGAAACTTGACGAAAAAAATTAATACAACGACTTCGCCGCGAGGAGGGGAGAGGAGCGTCGATTTGAAGGTGCGTTATATGGCGGCCGCGTCACGTGATTCCAAGATGACAGCGCCCATGCGAAGTAAGGTCTGATAAGAGCTTCCTACAAGTAGAGACATTATTTGAAGCGTCGACCACAGAGAAATATAGTACTACGTAAAGAGCGGACACTTCCATAGGCCCCAGCGGCCCAATTCAGTGTCAGCGAGCGCACCCAGCGGCCTTTATAGTCCCTAGTTGAGTGTTCGATGGATGGATACACACAGTAACCGCTGGCCAGATGAATGAATGGGTTCAAGGCGAGTTCTGGCGGTATTTTTGTATCGGGCAGTAGCATGCGCCTTCTAGTTTAACGAGTCAGTGTTATTGTAACTAGCATGGTTTTTGTTTAAAGTATAATGGCTTTATAAGCATACCTTAATTGTACTGCAGAAGAAAAGTCATCCAGCGCTACATATAGTTCAAACTGACCGCACACCGAAAACGATATTTTCACATGTGTGCTAACTCTCTTGAAGGGACGACATGGGACGACACCAGGGATTGACACACAGAAGTATTCATTTTTGTAACTATAATATAATAATATTATTCTTTATTTTCTGGTAGTCTCCAAAAACGGTTACGAAGGCCTACTTATTGGTACACTATAAACACAATAACCATCACATTAAAGATGCATCTGTCTGTTGAGGCATAGGTTGAGGCACAGGTTAACCAATACTAGCCACAGAATTAACAAACGCAATACACACAGATATCAAGACGCTACAGATAACACATAGCGCTAAATAAAAAAAAAACACAATGCAAGAAACGCAAACAAAGTTTCACACGCTATAAATGCTTCACCATTTTTTTAAAAAAACGTATCTGCGTAGATGTCAAGATCAGGAAAAGAAAGCTCGTTATAAGGGTGCTGGATCCTAGACATTGGTGAGGCATGGTATGAGGTGTTTGGGTAAAGTTGCAAAAGAAATCTGCGAGTGCGAAGAGGTACATGAAAGTTCACAGATAAGAGTGAAATACTATCAATTCTACCACAGATGACTTTATGCAAAAACGACAAATCACGAATGGTACGCCGTTTACTAAGTTCTCGCAAGTTAAGGTATTTAAGTAGTAATTCGTAACTATAATAACAACGACGATTAAAGTATCTATCGTATGCAATTCGAACCAGACGCTCCTGAACTCTTTCAATTTCGTTGCAGTGATTCACAGAAAAGGAGTTCCACACTACGGAACTGAATTCAAGTCTCGGTCGAACCAAGGATCAAAACAAACGAACCAAATATCTGTAACTCAAAAACTTTCGCGTCATACGTGAGGTCAGCCTCAGTACACGTAGGAAAGTACCCACCATTGAAGTGACATGTTCTTTGAATGAAAGTCAGCTATCAACGATAACGCCAAGGTCACGCATGGTGGTCACACGCTGAATCACTGTCGCATTCTGTAGCGTATGTTGAAAACCAATCGGGTCGGGCTTTCTGGACAAAGAAATAACTTTTTTTTTGTGAGTTAAGGAACAATAGATATAGATGAGCATCACACTGACACTCGGTCAATATCCGGTTTTAGTAATAAAATATCGTCTAAGCCACGCACCGAGAAATAAAGCTTGATGTCGTCTGCGAACAGTAGAATCTTAGCACTCTTGACAGCTGAAACAATATCATTAATAAAATTAGAAAAAGGAGAGGGCCCAGGTTTGAGCCCTGTGGAACGCCCGATGGTGAGATGAAATGATCCGATAAAATATTCGAAATCCGAACAGCGTTTGTACGCGAAGAAAGGTATGATTCAAACCAAGCAAGATACACAGGACAAAAACCATACAACTGCAGTTTCGAAAATAGCAAAACATGATTCACCGTATCGAATGCCTTCGACATATCAAAATACACAGTATCAACTTGTCCCTGGTCAAAAACGACTGGAGACGAGCAATTGGAGAATGTGCATATGACAAGCAAAACAAGCATCAACTCTGAAGACAAGGAGTGATGTATGCTATTCGTACGTTACAAAAATAAAAATACACATGCAAAATTTATAAATAACGCGTCGACAGTTGTACACTGGAAAAAAAGTACTGTATTACAGCGAGACTTAGAGCGACAAATACAATATGATGGAGGGCATTTAAAAAAATTACCGTCCAAGTTTCATGAAAGGCGCCTGCACATATGACCATGTGCTGAAAGACGCTTGCACATATATGACTGGCCCAGTGGCTTATAAATTCAGTGACCGAATGCAAATGTCCGTCAACAAAAAAACTACAGTCCCAATACTTCTTACGTATACCGTATACCATGACCGCAATGAAAGAGTGACTAGAAACCCGCACGAGACAACAAGCCGCGGAAACAACTCAACCCACTCAACGATGCAAAAGGCACAGACCAAGCAG